GAATTTGACTACTATTTAGAAAGTGGCCCCCAGATCCTCACTTCGGTTTCAATTGGTTCTGAAGTGTCACTGAAAGAATTCTTTTGTTTTTACTTAAGGCAGGCAGGTTTGCACTGTAACCATATCTGCTTTTCTACATCTCTATTTGACACTGAGTTGACCTCTGCTTACCTCATGCTTGCTAAAAAGAAACATATCTAATACCATCCACCTCTGTGATAAGGGCAAGAGAAAATAAACAGTGGAAAGACCCTTTAGGAGTGAATGACCTACTGTTAGCTGTGGGAGCCACACGACTAGGGTGGAGGCTGCAGACGTCCACCCTCGGCTTGTCACCAGTAGAGACAATGCTGTACTTGGGCTCAGGAGTTTAGAATTTTATTTACAATCTTTATTCTAGGCTTGACTCAGCAATAGTTTACCTTGTGTGATATGTTTAATTTTCAGATAAAGTCAAGTGGAATTTCTTTGCCTGTGAATCCGTTTCAAACTCTAATTGCCATGTTCTACCTAGGATGGGATGACCTCAACTGCATAGACAGGTTGAGTCATTAGATTGTATCTCCAGAGATATCTCCTAGTAAAAAATAAGATCTTTCTTTCAGAGGTACTGTACTTTCATCTCCTCTATCTTCCTTCTCTTGGTTTGAAACAAATGACTCCAAGGTTACCACAGCATGCTTAGTTGTTCTAGGAATAAGATTTTGGATCACCTCCATGATGTGAGATTAAAAGAGAGTGATGGAGAAATACCAAGCACGGAGGATGCTTTTGGAAAATATTAACTGGTGATGATTTTCCTTGTCTCTCCCCTGCACAAATACTGTTGTACTCAGTTTGAAAAGAAAAAGATTACAAAATACTTAGAGTTTGGGAAATAAAGTCCACCGAAATTTATGTAATTGTTTTAATGTGTATGTCATAACAATGCATTAATTGCCAAACTGAGGTTAAAGACTGTTGAAAATGGTGTTAGGCCTAGAAATCAAATCTGAGAATCAGTAAATGGCTTGGAGAAAGTAGTCAGGGGAGGAAACTAAAAGGGGCTACAAATATCCAGAAGGAAACTAGGTCTCTGAAAAAAAAAAAAAAAAAAAAAAAAAAAAAAAAAAAAAAAAAAAAAAAAAAAAAAAAAAAAAAAAAAAAAAAAAGCGACTGTAAATAGATCTTGAAGACTGGGAAACCTCCATGAGGGAAGTGCCAGGATCACATCATTTCCGTTTCATGCCTTCAGTCCTGTGCTCCCTTTGCGTCTCTTTGCCACATGCATGCGTAGGGTCAGCTAGACCCAAGACTTTAGATACCATTCGCATGCTGATGATGACCCCTAGCTTTTGTCTCATCTCAACATTTTTTTTTTAATATTGCAAACTATTAAAAAAAGTTTATTTATTTATTGCATGGGTGAGAATTGATACCTCTAATTGATTATTAGTTCTTGTTGGCTTATCTTCCAAAATACCCACTCATTTCTACCAATTTTTCCTGCTATCTTCCTAATCTAACTCATATCATATATTGCCTGGATTATAGCACAAGCCTCTTTAACATCCATTTTTTCCTTCCTCTTATCCATTCTAATGTAATAAGTAAATGACTTCAAAACATAACTTAGATTAAGGTCATATCTTCCCCCTATTTAAAACTCACCAATGATCTAAACATACTGCTTCTGCTCAGAATAAATTCTAAATTCTCCTCATAGCCCACAAATTCCTGCGTAATTTGGCCATGCCTATTCCCTCATCCTCATTTCTCAGCACTCTTGCTACTTCTTAGACTCATGTAGTAATGGACTCATTCTATAACTCTTTATTAGGGTGCCTCCCATGCACTCAGCAATGTTCTAGGGTCCTGGGGTAGATTAGAAATCAACACACGTATTCCTGCACTAGCCAGAAGAGACAGACAATAATGCATAAATAAACAAAAGAACTCAATTCTCTCATAGGTTAGAAAGTGTACGTGCTAGAGAAAAAAAGGCAAGTTGAGTTTCGTAAAGATTTGGGATGCCAAAGAGAGGGCAGGCTGTGGAAGAGGCCTCAGGTCAAAGGTGAAATTTGAGTAGAATTGAATAGGTGAGGGAATGAGCCAAAGCAGGTATTGAAAAGTGTGCTCTGAAAGGGAAAGTATTGGGTGCAGGAAACAGCAAGGAGATCAGTGATTCAAAGTAGGTTAAGTGTTGGTTTTTGTAAGAATTTTAACTTTTACTCTTTTTGAGAAGGGCAGCTATCACAGGCTATTGAGGAGGGGAGCAACAGGACTTGGTTAGCATTTTAAAAGGATCCCTGTAGCTGCTGTGTTGAGAATAGACTATGAAGGGGCAAGGACTAATACAGGAAAGAGTTTAAAGGTCATTACCATAATAGGGCCAAGGCCAGGGTGAAGTAAGTTAAACCCCTAGGGTACAAAATGTGAAGAGGTACTCACTTCCAGGGCCCTGTAAGTGACCTGGGGAGATAGCACCTCTGGAGAATTTGTACCCCACTGGCCAACTTTATACAGCACGGACTCTAACTAACCTCATGTAGTAATTTGGGTTAGAGGCGACACCTGTTCATACTGGCAGCAGTAATGGAAGTGGTGATATGAGATGTACTCTGGAATTGTTGAGAAGGAGAGTCATGGTGTCCTTCCAGATTAGATGAGGAAGGAAAGAGAAAAAGAGGCATCAAGGATGACAG